TAGGGGTTGTCTGAACTCCAGAAAAGTATCTGATTAAGGTATCTCCTGGAAAAAAGTTCTGCGTCATATTCAGTATCTCTATAACATCTGCAAGGAAGCTGAGGAAATTGGAAGACAATGGCAGCAGATACTGAAAAAACAATATGAATTTGGAAAATAGGCAGATTAAAAATAAAAGAATCTTTGTCAACCAGCAACAAGGGAATACTTAATTCACTAGCAGTTAATTGCAGTGACTCCATGTGTTTCAGTGATTGGTAAATCACTTATTTCTAAGTATAAAGTCCTTTTTTTATGAGGTTGATTTGTGTCTATGATATATATGTACTCCTGTATTTGTAACCACAAGAGCTCAAAATGGGATATTTTAAGAAGACATTACAATAGCTTGGATGTAGCTTGATGCAGATGTTTATGAAGCTCTGGCTTTATTTATATGTAGTAATTCATTAACCATTAGGATCCTCTGAATTTGTATTTTCTTGTAATTTGTTAGAAGTTTTGGATCATGTCCAAACTGTAAAAATAGTTAGTTATATTGCGATTGTCTCTATTCTTTCAGCACATTCCTATTGGGATGTTCCCTGGTGAAAGATGAAATCTCTGTTCTGAGGACTGGTGAGCTGGTGTGTTGCTATGTGCCTTGTCAAGCAAAACTAGAACTGGTTTGAGTGGAAGCAGGAGAAGAAAACTTGCTGGTTTTAGCCAGCCACGGTTAAAGGGGATATATGAATGAATATCTGTGTGCTCTACTGTTATCATAGAACAGTTACAGACTCATGGAAACATAGAAAAGTTTGGGTTGGAAAAGGACCTTAAAGACCATCTATTCCAATCCCCTGCCATAGGCAGGGACACCTTCCATGATCCCAGATTGCTCCAAACTCTGTCCAACCTGCCATTGAACACTTCAAGGATGGGGCAGCCACAGCTTCTCTGGGTAACGTGTGCCAGGGCCTCATCACCCTCACAGTAAAGAATTTCTTTCTAAGAGGAGAATTTTCTAGTTTAAAGACATTCTATCTTGTCCTATAACTTGTGCCCCTGTGAAATGCCCCTCTCTGGACTTGTTGTAAAGCCCCTTTATGTACTGGAGGCTGTATTTTCCTGCTTCTGGATGGGATGGAAGCTCTTATGCCGTCTTTGCTTTTGTGAACTGCTCCATCAGCTGCTTTGGTTTCAAAAAGGAAGGGCTGTAGCTCCATGAGAGTAAGAACAGAAGATGTTTAGATTTTCAGTTCCTGAAAAATGGTAATATTTTGTATGAAGCTGTTATGTTTCTCTTTCCTCTATATGTGTTGGGATTTAGAACTGACTGTTGGATGGGAACTGATCAACAGTTTCCTGGAGAGGCAATGATTCAAATGATTCTTGGGAGCTGTCATTGCTGGGAGGGATAAAGTTACAGTCAGCATTAAGCATTGTGTTTGGTGAGTAGTGTAAAATAATTGCTGCTTACTGATAGCAGGCAAACCCCACACTTTGGAAAAATAAATTGCAAGTGGTGTTTGAAGGGAACATTTCATTCTTTTTTGAGGGAAAAACAATCTATCATTTTCGTGATGCATTTCTTTTGGTTGTTTATTCTGTCTCCAGAGTGTAAATCCCTGCTTTGGTGCAACTGTTTTTGAAAATTAAGGTAATGTTTAACTCTGGAGCTCTATACATTGACTTAATTTGAGACTATGAAAGCCCACCATCAAAGATTCCACATCCTTGACAAAATCTTTAAGAAAAAAGAAGTGTTAACCCCAAAATGTTTTGAGATTATTTTTATTATCCCAGGTTTTCAAAACATGAAGCATTTCAGAAAGGTTTAATGGGCTTAATTATTTAGATTTCTTTGTTGCTTTTAACATGTTTTCAAATGAAATACATATTTTTTAAAGAAAAGTTCAAATTTCCACCTGCTCTAACATTGTCTCACCCTGGTATATAAGTGCCATTAAAGTCCTCAAACACCTGCCATTGGCTTCATGTTTAAATATTTCATTCATCAAAGAGAGTCCCAGTAGTTCCCTCCCTGGTATCACGTGTAAGGTTATAAAAGGTTACTTGTTATCAAAAATTCAACAAAGGTCCTGAAAACAATTCAGATTTTGGATTACTGAACCATGAATCAATGGGTAATGAATTGCCAACACTTTCAAAAGATCTACCAATGAAATAGTACAAAGCTGACACACTTAAAGAGAGAGAAAAAAAAGCAATAATCCTCTACAGCCACTTCCCTTTGCACTTTGAAGAACATCATCTCCTCCATGACCATGCCTGTGCCTAATCCAGTATCTTCTCTCTGACAGTGGTCATTGCCAGATGTTTCAGACATTGTGCTTTGTTTATTATGAATCAGTCACCATCAAAGCATTCAATCCCATCAATATCTTGAGCTTGAGTGAACTCAAGTTATTTTGAGATTGCTGATGGAAGATGAGAGGAAGGAGCTGTTTCAACAAGTGATCTGCACTAATTGCAGGGACTGAAACCTTCCCTGATCCTGAATTGGCAATACGAAAGGCATGTTGAAGGAGGCTGTTCTGACAAGAGTAGTTGAATATTCAGGGACAGTAGAGTCTTGACTGCACTTTGGTTGTATTTCTCTGGCTCCTTAATAGGGTGGCCTCGGGGAAAAGTCCTAATGCACTGGAGTAACAGCTTAGAAATGCATTTCTCTATTTTGTGTTGTATTCTGATTCTGTTTGTGGTTTGCTTGTCCACCCCAGGTCCACTCCAGTAGTTAATTTTGTCCCAGAGTGCCTCCTTGAACAAGTGAAATAAAAATGAACATGAAATTAAATAGTGTTTTTTGCTGATCTGATGCAGCCCTGTCACTCACTCTGATAACTGTGGCTGTGTCTCAGCATTTTTCTTATGAGCAAAAGCTGCCCTTGAGACTTGGAAATCAATATGCTGATTTGAGTAAATATTTATTTGGCACACACCTCGAGGCACTGCAGCAACAGAACTGTGCAGTAAGAACTACTAAAATTTAGAGAAATCAGAGAATCCAGCCCCCACCGTGGCAGCTGAATGATGAAGCTAAATTACTGTATGTTGGTTTTCTGTAAGAACAGTAATTGTAGTTGTTTTAGACACTTTGAAATTTGTTGATACTGATGGTCTTTCTCAGCACTCCTGAACTAGGTTTTGGTATTGGCATGGAAGAAGAGCTCTTCCCAGTAAAAAGTCTGGATATGGGTCATCTGGAAGTAAATAATTAGGAAATTGGGACCTAATTATTGTTTTAAAATACCTAAAGATAGAGATAAAATGGAACCAGTCTTCTCTCTGACAGGTTTCACTGTGACAATTGTAAAGATTTGGCACAGGGTGCTCAGAGAGGCTCTACCCTTGGGTTCAGAGATGGGAAGTCTGGACTAAAGTGGCCCTGCTTGGAACAGAATTGCAAAGGTAACAACCTAAGTAATTCTGTGATTATGGGTCACCAAGAGAATAGTCATTATTTTTGAAAAACAAATTTTTTGTTCCCTTTTAGGAATTTGCCCAGGGATTGTTTCTTTTAATTGCTTTGTCTTTTTTCTCTATCTCTTAAGAGTATAGCACCAGCCATCCCACCATGTCCTCTCTCTGTCTTCCTCCACAGAGGAAGAGGAATATAAGGACAGGAATTGTGGAGTGGCTGCTTGTAGGCTTGTGTTGGTGGCAGTAGTGGGAAGGGGACTTTCCAACCCATTGCAGAGAGGAGATCTGTGGGGTTGAATGTCAGCTGATGATGACATGGGGCATGCTGTAGTGTTCCCTGTATGGATGTCTCTGCAGCAGCAAAGGGGAGGCTTCCCTGAGTGTGGTAAAGTCAGGATTGTTTGGGAGTTCCCATGGCAACCTGACTGTTGACTCACTGTAATTTTAATGAGACTTTGTCCCCATGTTTTATTCTTGTCAACAACTTCATTGTAGTGGATAACATAATCCTCTAAGAAACAAAGAGAAATTTGGTTCTGTGCAGTGTTTTCCTTCTAAAAATATTGTGACTGTTCAAAATGAGAGAGAAAGCAAAGCTCTGAGGAAGTGTCAAAGGCCTAGAACAGCAGTAGAGCCAGAAGAATTAAAATGGTATAATGTGAAAGGAGATCATAGATGTGATTGGTGTGCCAGGATGGAATAGGACCTCGTACTACCAACTGTACCCCAACCTTCCCCATAGTGGCTCTGCATTTGGGCCTTTTTGCTCATGACCATTAGTTTATAGGAAAAGTGTGGTTGGAAGGGATTTCTGTTCTCTAGTCTAACCTACTGCTGTGGAATGTCAGATCAGCTGGCTCAGGGCTTTATCCAGTAATATCTTGAAAACTTCCAATAATGTAGGCTCCACAGCTTCTCTGGGCAAGCTGCTCTACTGCTTGATGCTCTCTGAAGGAGCTGCTCCATATATCTAGTCTAAAACTCTCCTGTTTCTCATTGTGCCTGTTATTTCTCATTCTCCTACTGTGAACACCCTGTCTCCATCTCTTTGATAACCTCATAGTAGATACTGGCAGGCTGCTGTTATTTTCCCCCAAAGATGTCTCTTCTCCAGGCTGAAGAAGCCACTTCTTACAGGGAAAGTGCTCTAGTTTCCAGCTTTTTTTACAGAAAAGTACTTTTCTGTACTCACTCCAATTTATTGAAATCTGTCTTGTATTGGGGGGCCAAAAACTGCATGTGGCATCTAGATTTAGTCTAAATGATGAGTCTGGCTCAGCTGCATTTCCTGTAAACTTGACAGATATGCTGATGTAAATAAGTTGTGTGATCCGACTAAGAGTTTAGAGCATCCAGATGTTGTTTCCACTAAGGATATGAAACATGGCTGAAGGTCAAATCACCAAATGTCCCTAATCTCCCTGTCACTGTGTCTCTCCTTTGCACCTTTGTGAGATGAGTAATAAAATCTGCATCCCTCATTGCTGGTTATTTTGTGTTTGTTTTCTGCACTGATGTAAACCACCTAAATGTTAACTGCTTTTCCCTAATGATGGTTTTTGTTGTGGTTTTTGCAGGTTACATATCACAGGTACTAAAGAATTACACTGACCATGCCTGTGATGGAGAATATGTGTCCCTGAGATGTCCCCACAGAACCACCATCAGCATCCAGTCTTCTTTTTATGGCCGAATTGTACCAAGTCATCAGCTGTGTCCTTCTCGTTATCCCCCCTCCTATGCAACTTTAATTAAAGAAGATGTTGCCTGTTCAGTTGGCACTTCTCTTCAGGTATTGTTAAAATGCATTTCTTAATTTTGAACTCCACCTTTCCTTGGCCAGGCAGCAGCTCTCAGTGTTGGTGCTGCACAGACCTACCTGCCTTAAGCAGGGCTATCCAGCACGGGAGCTCTGACACCTCACAGAGCTTAGTGGATAATTCATCCTTGTAGTTTAGACAGGACTGAATTACATTTGGATAGTGAATTTCTTAGTTTTCTTGCAACTCTAGTCAGTAACTGTTCAGGAATGTGTTTGAAGGAGAATTACACTTCAGGACTGCATTATGTTTGTCTGGGTTTGAAGCACATTATTTTTATAGTTTTCCTTCCCAATTATTAGCTTTTTCAACATATTCAGAAATTGCTGTAGCATTCTTTTTGCTTTAGATGCTGATTCAAGAGGCTTTTACTTTGGTAACTCGAAACCCAAAGAGAATCCTTGGCTTTACTTCTTGTGACTCATTTGGCTCTTAGGCCACTGTAAGTGGTCATACATCACTTAAACTTGTAACATCTCCCAGTAGTTAATCAGCTCTGACCATTTGTGTGGGGAAAGCTGTCTCTGTGTATCGTCCCAAGAGCACATGTGACATCAGCAAATCAAAGGATTATTTGGAAGGTGCCAGTGTTGCTCAACTGTCAGTAGGAACAACTAAAATTAGAAACATGAGTTGGCTGATGCTGATATGAATAAGGTCTGCTCCTGGGTATTGAAACAAGCACAAGTTTTTCCAAGTGCTGGATTTGGGACTGTGAAAACTTTTGGGCAAAGCTCTCAGTCATCCAGTGTGTTTATGGCTTAGAATCAATAATAACTCATAATAAAAATTTATAGCAGACTATATTAATGAACCTAGAGGGTTAGTGAGTAATTTCTTTTATAATTTGGCTAAAGGCCAGAGTTTTCCACATCACTTCTCGCTCTTGCATCCAGGGTTTTTAAGAGACATTTAACAGCATTTTTTAAAAAGTTGAGTGCCTTGGCTTCCAAATGCCAGTGGTAAGCTCTCAATAATTTGAACAAGGTTGTGTTTGGCTGTAGTGTAACCCCTAAGCTGACAGATTTGAAGTTGCCCTCATGACACTTCCACTGCACAGCAAAGGATTGAGCTGTAGTATGGGAGGACGTGGTCCTTATCAGTGGAAGATTTTCCCAGATTTAAGAGAAGTTCATAATGAAACATGTGAGAGGCAGTTGTATTGTTTAGAGTGGGAGAACACAGAGAGAAAGCTTTGGCAGAGGCTAGCCTTCCCTTCTTTTATTGATTTACTGAAAAATTTACTTGCAACATTTCCTTTACCAAGGTGATTGATGGCTATGAGTATCACCTCAACCGTTGTGGGTGAGTGGCCCACTTAAGGCATCTGGAAGAACTTGAGAAGAGGAAAGATATAACCCTAGGGTTTCTATTTCATGGTTTTATGTATAGGAGGGATTGAAAAGAAATCCTTACCTGCCTCTCTTAGCTTTTTATGTCCTCAGACCTGTTTCCCATTAGCTTTGTCTTCAATACTTAGGTGGCTTGTAATTTCCAATCCCTGTTTATCAGAGAGAGACTTGTGTTCCCTGTAGGTAGTCCTGCAGCAGATCCTTTGTGCAGTACATTTCTTACATGACTGAGACCAACACACTATTATTAACCCATTCCTGGGGATGCAGATGTGCTGGGAAAACAGCTGACATTCTCCCTTCTGCCACAAATTTCTTGGGACACCTTTGGCAAGTTCATGTGTCTTTTTGGAGGAGACTCACAGCCTCTTTGATGCCCCCAGATGTGGCTTTGATCCCTCTGTGTGTTGTGGTTGCCCAGGGTAGGATGAGTCCAAATGCCAGAGATGAATCTCATCTTCTCTCTCAGTTCTGGAGTGGGTGAGGCCTCTCTGAGGGGTAAGCCAGGAACTTCACAAGCTGAATGGCAAGCTGCCTGCAGCTCACTAGTAGGAAATGCATGTGTGTAGGAAAATTGGAAAGCTGTAGACAAGGAAATTGTGTGTGTTTTTGTGGTTTTGCAACTCAGATATATGGCTGCTACAGGCTGGACCAATTGTGTGTATATTTGGTTGTCAGTAATTGAAAAAGTCAGCCAAACCAAACCCTTCATAACTAAGTATATAAAATCACTGTGTCTAATCAAACCCATGACTGTATAAATTTGCTGCTTCTCTGGAGAGTGGTCTGGAGGGAGTGTGAGGAGCATTTATTAACTGTGCCCTGCAAACACTAGCTGTGCATGTAAACTCCCATTTACAATCTCTCTCCACTGTAAATGTCCAGTTCAGACATTGTTTCTATGTTAAAAAGGGAAAAGAAAGAGTATATTACACCGAGATAGCCACTATTAATTCAGCTTCATGTGACTGGCTGCCAGGATTCCTTGTTTTACTCACTTGTTTTGTTTGCAGACCACCTGGGAGAGTGTGTATGAGACATTAGGGCAGTGACCCAGTGACCCCAGATTACACATTTCTGTTATTCTAACACTGTAATGTCAGATTCAATGGGAGCTTTCCAAATGCAGAAAGAATTTGGACATTCATAGAATCATCACAGATTGATAGAATGGTCTGACTTGGAGGGGACCTTAAAGCTCATCTTGTTCCAACCCGCTGCCAAGTGCAGGGACACCTTCCACTAGATCAGATTGCCCAAAGCCCCATCCAATCTGACCTTGAACACTTCCAGGGATGGGACAGCCAGAACTGGGCAGTCTGTTCCATGCTCTGAGTAAAGAATTTCTTCCTAGTGTCTAATCTAAATTTACCCTTCTTCACTTCAAGGCCTTTTCCCTTTGTTGTATGACTGCACACCCTTCTTGTAAGCCTCTTGTAAGCCCCTTTATGTACTGGAAGGCTGAAGTCTGGATCAGTATTTCTGATTCCTCTTGTTTTCAGCAATGAAACACTCGAGGTCTGTATGGAAGAATGTATAATGGTTGGCTAAAATTATTGCTTATTACCAGAAAACTATATTACACTTTACAGCTGATTACCTGCAATTTTCTCATTTTGATAAATTGGCAGAAAATAAAACCACAGCTTATTTGTAAGGAAAACGGAAAACCCTGGAGAGCCACTTAATTTGTGTTTTGCCCTCTGATATTTATTAAAGACATTGAGGGCTAACTTCTCTCTTCATTTGCACTGGCACAGAAATCAGCAGACAGATGCTCTTCCCAGAGCAATATTTTACCCTGTCACTTGTTTCCCCAAGAGGAGCTGTGCTTAGAAGGTGCTCTGGAGTTGAATCCTGACTCTTCTTAGAGAGATTATCTAATCTGGGAGGGTCTGTGGGCATGGCCTGTGCCCTGGGTCTCTTTCAGTGCTCTCCAGGACAACCAGTCCTTAGTGACAAGAATCACTAGTGCTGCTGATGTGGTATTTCCTGACACCTTTGCTGCCACCATCTCCTGCTGTTGCTTCAGCAGCCCTACAAAAGGGAGCAGATTCCTTGCATGCTGACCCCAGGATTCCCTGAACTCTTCCTCCCCCTTTTTGTTTTCATTTTCATTTTCATCCACCATGAAGGTTTCTGTGAAACAAACAAACAAACAAACAAAAAAACCCAAGAAAACAAACAAACAAACAAAAACCACCACAAAAAACCCAACCCCTCCAAAAGAAACCACACCAAAACCAAACAAAAAGCATCCCCCCCAAAAA